GAGGGCTCTTTCCCATGGCTAATTATCGATTTTTCACAAAACATAAATTTATAAACAAACAACGATTCATGTCATTTTTCATGTGTTTGGCCCATCAAATTTCCCTTCCTTTTTCCTCGTTCGAAAGAAAATTTTAAAGAAAATCGAACTACCCCTGATTCTCTGTATTTTCGTTGTTGGGTACTTGAAAACATCTTCTTCGAGGGTCGTCTAGAGAGAAAAATGTCCATTGAAATTTAATATGACTGGGCCCCGTTTCATAAACTACTTGTTGGTGGTAATGGTGGTTGTAAAACCGCATAGCATTTGCCACGATTCAGTCATCCATTGCATCCGGTCATCATTTCAGAGAGTGAGAGGACCCATTGAACGTTTACTTTATTTTCGCTGTATTTAAAAATCTATTAAAATTTGTTATTTTTCACATTGTCGTTATTTTCTTCGTTCCTTGAGTGTATCGAACGAACATTCAGCCAAGCATGCAACTAAAATGTTCAATATTTCTTCCATCATTCCCAGGCAACAGAATGTGTAAGACGCTACAAATTTAAAATTAGTATTTTTTTAAATATAATTTAATTAGTTACTATTTACAGTTCTTTAATAGTTTTGAATTTTTTATGGTTTTGTAGCATTTGAAGAAATAAATTTCAATTTACATTTTATGTATGTATCGATTTAATATATCAGACATACGTACATATTTTTTGTACTTGCTGTATTTGTGTGTGTTAGTGAATTTTCTTTCTGCTTGGAGTTGGATAAAAACTCAGCTGAAATTATTAATTTTATGCTTTCTCAACTTTTGCCAAGCATCCACTCTCCATTACCTCGTCCATCATCCATTCATCCAATTCCATCAGGCATATTTTTCCACGTCATTAAATTTAGTTTGTTGATGCTGAAAGAAAATTGAATTTTTTTATAGAGAGAGTCTCCGCATGGAAAACTTGTTTTTCCACCTCAATCATTGCCATACGTTGTCAGCCAGCAAGCCCGCAAGCTATGCATAATAGGCAATGTATGGAAAATTGTTTTTTTTTATTATTTCTTATTTTAAAATGAATTTCTATATTTCACATTCCTTTTCAATAAAGGGAAAGCTTTTCCATATTTGAATAAAATGGAAGTGTATTTTTTTCAAAAAACAATTTATTTATATCGAGTACTTGTTTTATATAGAAATGCAAATGTTTCCCTAACTCCAACCATATGTAGCACCAATTCCAAAAAATTTTTCTTTTCAAGATCAAATGGCACATTTTTTGGGTCATTATTGTTTATTTTTATTATTTTAAATTGAAATAATTTATTTAATAATTCCCCATGTCATTAGTCAAATTTTTTGTGGGTGGGTGTGTGTGGTGTTCGTCTATATTTCCATGAAATAAATTCTATTGGAAATCCAGCCTGTTTTTTTGTTTTTGAGTCACCCTAGGCATTGAAATGTCATTAACCATTAAACGTTAAATAGTTAAAGTAACGACAGACAATATTAACTATTTTTACTCTAGTTTACTACCACAACTACAAGTACAGTCACGAAAATACAGGTCAAGGACTATTTGTCTTCCGAATTATGTCGACAGAGTACCAAAGAACGGATGAAAAAAACGTCGTCAACATCGAGTAACCACCCATTCGACTCAACAGCATAGTTAGGCGCTGGTGAAAAAGCCCACGGCAGCGTTTTTTGTATTTCAACCTCATGGAAAATAAGTGTTACAAATAAATTGGGTAGAAGTAAAAGTCCTTAGGCTCGAAAACTAGGACACTTTATAAAAGCTGGTCGTTGTCTTTATTGTTTTCTATATTGCTATTGGTCGTATCTATACAAAATAAAAGGAAATGAAACAAAACAAAAAAATTGTTCATTGTCCTTCGGTCAATCAATGAAGGGCTGAGACAACGAACGCACCAATTTACCTTGACTCAGAAAAAAAGAAATGATTTATGGCAAAAACAAAAATAGATAAAACACGATTCAATTTTTATGGCTTGTTGCTTTGAACATTTTTCAGATTATTTTTTTGCAACACTTTACAATTATTACGACAACATTACGACAATTGTTCTCGCATAATAATTCGAGAATAATTGTCGGAAGAAAGCTCATTATTTAATTTTCCGTCAAAGAACTCGACTACTAGCTGCAAAATTGACATGGATTAGGAGAACTCAGTACTCAAATTATGCTTTTAAAAACTTTTTTTTATTAATTAACATAAATTTTAAATTGGAGTGTAGAAATCTTGACAAAGGTTCAAATAATTATAACCCATTTGAAAGAATGCCGAAATATGAGTATGTATTTCTTCGATGCTGACTAATCAACAGATTGATGGAATAGGGGAAGTGGGTGTGCGTGCTAAAATGCGGTTATAACAAAACTTCACATATCGACAGTGATTACCTACCTCAGTACTTAGTTCTTTAATGTTCATCATTCTTGCCTTGGCAAAAAACACAAAAATCTTAAAAATTCTCACTTAACACCAACACACTCACAGACACGCGTGGCAGATAAAAATTAAGAATTCAATTTTCTCACATTCTCTGTCGTTATTTCTGTTGTTGGTATTGTTGTTGTGGTAGGGTTGAAATGTTAAAATTCCATTCATTTTGCCAGTCAACAGTATTGAATATCTCCCGGTGGGCTATCTCACGCACACTTTGTTCTATCTTTGAACGAATTTGTTTGGCATCCCATCAATTTCACGTCTTCTTTGCTGGAGCGATAGAAAAAAATATGGTTCGCAATGCTAAACAAGTGGCCAAGGGGATGAACGGATTCATGTATAACAAAAACAATATATATTCTATCCAATAGATGAACCTTAGTCTTCATTTAATGATTTGTAATTTGGCCTTTCATCACGATGGGGGATGAAGTTACTTCTCAAGGTTATTCGCCGTGCCGATTGCCCAACAACCGACATTAATGACCAGGTTCTGTTTTTTAATGACTCAAAAGCTAACAGCAGCTAGCCCAATATTTTGTACGTTGTCGAAGTTCGGTATTTTGTTTGTACTTAAATTAATTGATGACTATGGTGTTCCTATGGCTCTACTGAAAATCAGTGCTGCTTGAATACAGAATAGTAAAACAAAAATCATACACACAGAGACACACGTTCTACAAGTCCTAACGAAACGCAAGAACATTTTAATTTTCCTCATTTCGGGAGAAACTAATTATAGCGCGCATGTTTACAATGAAATCAAATCTATTAAGTTTTTGACTGAAAGAATTTAAGAAACTTGTGAAGCACTTTTTGCTTTACAAAGTAAATACAGTGAAGTACAAAAATTAATCACGCACACTTGACAATTTACAATGCAAATAAACATGACACTAAATATTAATTATTGTTATTATAGCAAAGGATGCAACCACATCGATTGACATATGCCATTTTGCACCTGAATCAAGACCAAGGAGTTTTTATGCTGTCTGTCTGATCTTAATATTGCACAAATTTATTGCTACCCTTAATCCTTCCATACACCTCGTAACAAATATCTAAATTTTTCAAATCTCTCCAGTTCGTATTTCCAAATATGTCCCTTGTAATTGATCATGATATGCCTCAGTCATGACATTCACTATCATCCCATTTCGAAATCTAACCAGAAATCTATCTAATCACAAACAACCAAAGTCATCGATGTTTTTTATTTATTTCACAAAATAAAGAAACGACAATAACGTGCCAAAAACAATGACAAAACAGAAAACAACAACAAATGCCAATAAAAGATTATTTAATATTGAATTAGGTTCTCATTACTTGCTTAGCCGACACTGACCGATCGACCCACCCTCAAGAACTGGACAACGACAAGTCGAACAGTGGCAGGCAATGACACTGAGTCATAGCCTCAAGCAAATTTGATTTAAGACAACAACAAATAGAAAAATCTCCACTGCCTAAGATGCCACCTCCACATACCATATTACGCTTCTTCTTCCGCCTCCCCACTTAATACAATGATGACAAGCAAGCAAGCAAGCAGGTTGTTTGCTGCAGAGCTCTATGAGACGTCAAATGTTACCAAATATGGTTTCAGTTAACAGCAAATACCCCGAGTAGAGCTGGAATTGTATAAGCTTCTTAGCAAAACTCAACTATGTGGGCTTAACGAGATGCCAACCAACGTCTGGCGTTGGGGTCTGTTGTCTATCCATCTGTCAATGAATGAAACAAATGCTATTTTTAGATTAGCATGCCGTCACTGACTGACTGCCTGCCTGCCTTAAGGTCTGATGACCATTCATGTCTATTGGGTCAAATCACTGTCATCGGTGGTCACACAAGTAGCTTGGCGCCATGGATGTCTCATTGTAGTATCAGTTTTATTTTTGTTGTTCGTTTGTTATTTTGTTTTTTTTTTTATAAATATCGACCATTTGGCGAAATGACACTTGTTTTTGGCAAGCGAAATACATTCTCGTCAGACTGGTTCGGGTTTGAATTTATTATTATGATTCTTCTCTATTTGAGCACAATTTGAAATATCCCTTTGTTTTTTCTTTACAGATTGCTGCTGCAGACGCGAATCGAAACATGGATTATTTAATGCTTTCCCGAGTGTGAATAAAAGCCTAACGAAATGGCTTCTAGAGAGTTTCTAAGCAAAATATCTTGATTTTGGACTGAAACAGAAACCAACTGAAAACTGAAAACCTCCTGTAAACGGGCCTTCACAAGTAGTTGTAAAAATGTTGAACTCATTGAGAATTAGTTTAGAACCTAAGGTTGTGATTACCCTCAAAACTGATGAAAATCGCCAACAACACTCAGCATAAATTTTCCCAACTCTACGTCATTTGCCAAAAATCATCAATCATCCGGAAAGCGTTGTAATAAAATCATAAGAAAATTCAAGAATTTTCCAAAAAAACAAAAAAACTCAAAACATTTACCAGGCACGAAGAACTGTCTCTCTCTCTCTCTATCTCTCGCTCGCCATTCTCTGTAAACATAAAAATACTCTCTGTCAACCATGAATTCCGTTATCTCTGCATTTAAACCAAAAAAGAACTCCAGCCAAAATGTATCGTTGGCCTCACAGAACGGTGTGAGCGGAGCCAATGATGGCAACAAACACAACAATCTGAGCATGATCACCAGCACGTTAAGTACCTCGTCATCAAAGAAGAAGGCCGCCATCAATGCCCAGGACAACAGCTATCAATACCTGAGGCATATTCGTGAAATCGATACGGCAACGAAGCTGTTGTCGCCCGTCGTAATGCCAGATGATTTGCTCGAAACGGATATGCTGAACTTCCGCCCAGCCTCTGTTACACCCATTCCGGTGACACCAGCAGCTGGTGTGGATGTTGTGGATCATGTTCCTTTGCAAACGGTTCGACTAACTCCTCCCTTGGACACGGGCAACACAGCCGACTGCAATATGAACAGTGGCAAAATGTTATCCTCCATCATATGCCCTGCGTCGTTGGAAAATGGCAATGAATCATCGTCGGAGGAGCATTGTGCCAGCCCCGGCAACGGTCAGCACAGTATGGCCAATAGTCCAACGCAGCATTTGATGGATGGGGAAGATGATGAGTCGGAACATTCAACAGCTAATTGTACAAGCACAACCAGCAGCAGTAGTTCCAGCGATCAGAGCAACAGCACTGTGGTGCACAGTCCTATTGCACCCACGGCGGCTGCTGCTGCTTCCGCCTCCTCATCTTCCACACAGCAGCATGTGTCGCCAGCACATCCAAGCCCCGCCAAAAGTCTGAACTTGAGTCTGAGTAGTAGTACGTCGCAATCACTTTCATCATCCATTTCGGTATCTTCCATTTCCACCAATTCATTGGCACTCTTAAATTCCGGTCCAAGTTCGTGTTCATCATCTGCCACCGGCGGCGATATATCTTCCAGCAACGATTATTCCCAGCCGCCATCACCGACAATGGTCACGAGGAATTCGTCGGCCAGTTCGGAATATGTACCCGCATTTCTTAAATCCAGCAACGTAACATTGCCCATTATAATGCCGAACAGTAGCAGTAGTCTGGCCTCCTTGCCTCCGAATCAACAGACGCCTGCCAATTCGGCGACAACAACACCGAAACATACGCGTTATTCAAAGCCCCGCCTAAGTTTGAGTCGTTTTATAAATCATTCGATGCCATCGGTTCATGGACGGCCGAATTTGAGTATACCCGGCAGTGCGGCAGGTGGTCAGAATGGTGCCGCCGGAGCTAACGGTGCAAATCCGCCAAAAAGGGCCTCAACACATCAACGAAATTTAAGTTTGGATTTTAGGTAAGTCAGTCGATATTTTTACTTGTTTAGAATGCTGCACACTGTGCAACAGCAAATTGCTATAGGCAGCAACGTACGCAGGATTTCGGTACAAAATGAAAAAATTCGCTGTTGCAAACATAAATTTATTGTGAAAAAAATTCATTTGGGGGGCGGCCCCCTGGGCCGCCTGGGCCAAGCAATTTGTTAATTTTAGAATTGACGGATTTTTAATTCAGAGCTTAACCGGTTTGCCAAAATTTAAATTGCAGTGTGACAAGGTTTTTATCTTAATTTCAGCAACATTTTAAACCTTGGATTTTACTTCAGAATCTTGAAACACTAATCCATTAACTCGTATTTTAGCAATTCGAAGTCATGAAATACACACCTAAATACGTTATCCGAATAAATTTTGTTTTATGTCGGCGAATACGTTCCCTTTATTTCCGACACGCGTTACTGCTTCAAAACATTTAATCATCCTAATCTGATTCAACGTGACTACAAGTGTCTAAAGGTGATTAGATTTGTGCCCCAATTTTCTTCAGGAACATAAAAAGTCTTTCCGCTTTCGAATGGAGGGGGAAATGAAAGCGCTTTCCCGCTAACAGGTCGACTGCTTCGTTTTAATGACGATGCTATATTTAGCGAAGGGCACAGGAAAGACATACACGAAAGTCGTTTTCCAAACAAACAACAAGAATGTATATCAAAAACAATATTGAAAAAAAAAAACAAAAATAGCAACAAAACAAACAACAAGAAAACACCATAGAAAAGCTGCGGAAGGAATTTCAAAAGAAACACGTCCTGACTCTTTGCCCCTCATCTCGTCATGGTAATAAACAATTCTAAATTCAACTTTCAAATAAAAAGGGGAGAAGTAGTGATTGGTGTCCAACCTTGCCATATGGCTGCCTCCCCGCATCCAACACTGGAAATGTTAGCGAACAAGTTTTTATTAAGATTCCCTTGGAGATGTTTCCGAATCACTTGCTGCTGCGTTGCTACCATTCATTGGTATGCAGAAACAATCATAAAAACAACACCTACACATAGAACACAAGGGAATCGGTTTCTTCCATTGTCCCGTAGTCCAATTTGAACATACAACCCTATTCCACTGGTAGCTGGTATCAGAATCATGCCAAGTGTAAAAGAACGGAAATTGCCAAAGACTCTTCCACGGCTCTTAGCGAAAAGAAGAAGAAGAATATTAAGCATCAATTTCACACACTCACTCACAGTGCCAGAAAATTGGAAAACCTAGCCCAGCACAGCAACATTAAAAGGGATCACTTCGACTGACGCTAGGCAATTTCCTCCACTTAGTTGTTTTTGTTTTCGTCCAATCATAAGAATTTTCAGCGATTACTAATTTTTTGTTTTTGTATTTATTCCTAACGGAGAGGTTTAAAGGAGGTTTAAAAGCAAGTGGTTTTATTTTCCCCTTTTGCTGAATGCTGAAGAAATTTGCTATTTCAGATACAAATTGTTTGAATAAATTATGTGCATAAAAACACAGGAGATTGCTGCCTAAATTGCTTCACAATATAATAATTTAAATCCATTATCATTTGTATACCTATATCATTTGTGTAACTTCTTCGACGAAAGAAGGATAATTAGATCTATTATGTTTTCATTCGAAGCCCTAATTTTAAATTAGTATTTGGCTTTTTATTGGCTTGTTTCCTGGTCAGAATCAAATTTTGAAATAATTATCTAACGCAGTATATATTGATAGGCCAGTTTCGTTTGCAACGCTTTATTGAAATTATTACTCGAAATCGATTTCAAATAGAATATTGCAACACCTAAGTATTGTATATACGATTCTGATATGTGTGTACCCCTCCTGCTTCATTGTGAATCTTACGTTCTACAAAAATTTTTCACAGCAACACAATAAATGTAATTTCCAAACAAAATTTCAAAATATTTCAATGATGGTGCAGATCACGTTGCATAAAACGTAAGGTATGATAGCAAATATTGATTTATTTTTGGCGAAAAACTCGTATGAGATGAAAATGAAATTTTTGTGAAAATGTTTCCTTCAACTCACAAGGTTTTATGTCATAAATTGTTGTTATAAATGATTGCTTTTTGTTTAAAAACGCTTTATTGGCAATGCTCTGCAATGCCAAGTAGGTCTGCCCTTTTTCTCGTTGGGCGGACAAGATAACATTAAAATATAAAAATGTGCGATTTGGGGTGAAGTTCTCAACTTTAAACGGATGTAAATTCTTGCCGCCACTATGTTGCATTTGATTTCTTCTAAGTATATTTTATGATGCAGATAACTACAAAAAAAAAATATTCGAATTTGTTAAAAATCTTTAGCACCTATTTTCATGGACATGTTTCTGCTGCTCATCGAAACAAATTAGATGATGATGGTCTTTCTGTTCGTCATAAATTTGTAAAAACTTTTTACGTTAAATTTTCCTAAAATTTATTTGCCTGTATGTTCGTATATTTTATTGTTGTTGTATCATCTTTAAAAGGGAATTCTTAGAGTCGAGACAGTAGCAAAGATTTTTGCTTAGCTAAACTAGATATGGAAGGATAATAAATGCCAAATGTCCTTCCCTCCTTACACAGTTCTACACTGTAATGCGCCCGGAAATATATGTTGTAAAACTGAAGAAGAAGCATGGATTTCATTTGCAAGAAATGTTTTTGTTTCTTTCCTTGTAGAGAACGTAAACCACAGCTAAGAAGGCTCTTATTAAAGAAAATTGGTTATTGGCTATGGGTTGGATTTTTTTCCGGCATCTTTTTCGAGTTCTTTGTAATCTATGTTGGTTGACCTAGTTTGAAACCATTATTTTCATTCATGCCACACTATCCACAACGAATGAAAAAAAAGTATTGTGCTGTTGAGAGAGAAAATGTTAAAGGCGAATATTTTAAAGTCGTATTTTTGTTTTTGTAATAGACAGGGTATCCCATAATGAACCATGAATAGAGAAAAGTTCTGGGAAACGAAAGATAAAAGTTATATGTACTGACCAAGGTTATAAAATGGTTATAGTGTATATTAAATTTGTACCATTCTATATATTCTTGATCATAATAAAATCCTATATCGAATTAACCAAGTCCGTTAAAATAATGATAAAATTGCGCTTTTGTGTCGCTTCTAGGAAGTTTGCATTGAGAATATATGCCGCCCCCTAAAACAGTACCGTTGCAATTTCTGTTTTTTCCAGACGTTTTTTCAAACTAAGCTATTAATTTAAAATTGACATAATAGTATACCAGGTGACTTCCAATTTTTCCTATGTAATTTTAAGATCGACTTGTTTTCCAAAAAAAAAAATCTTTGGCAATAAGTTAGTCCTTGTAGTGGTTCTCATAACTCCATATTTAGTAATTGTTTATCCTGTTTTTAATTTACAATATATATTTATTTGACTTATTATGGAGTACCCTGCTGTGCCAGGTATATTTTACGGAAACGGAAATCTACAATTCAGTTAAGTCATGTACGTTTTATAATCCTAATAGAAAATCAATATTTTAACAAAAACGATTATATGAATTGGACATACATATGTGTTTTTCTATTCCAGTAAAAAACGTTTTTTTAATTGCTGCGTACTTCCTTTTTAATATCTGAGTAATTTTCTTTTTTTTGTGTTTTTACGCATGACATCAACATTCGGCCAAGTCCTTGATGGCAATGGCTATTAAATTTTTATTATACTTTGTAAGCCTACAAGATCTACTTCATCGTAAAAAAACTAAAAGCCCACACTCACGCTGTATTACTATATAATGCCTAATGTAACTGAAATAATACACGCGAATTACAAGCTCCGAGTACTACTGGCTGGTGCCCTATCCCCCCATGGCGACACAACACTAGGTATTGTACGCGAAAATGTTTTCCTCGTAAAGAAAAACAACACGAACAAAAGAACTACAACAATAACAATAAAGCAAAACAAATATTGTCAAGGTATAGCTGTGGTGAACAGGTTATTGTGTTCCTGAGCTAATAATACCCATTGTTGTCATTATGGGGCGCCTACACTCAGTCTACACTCCATTTCATTTGTAGATATACTATCTGTGCGTGTGTGTGGGTCTATTTATTTGTGTGTCGTCATCGACATCAGCGTCACCAGAACATTTTGTGTGTTAATTAAATACGATTGAAAGTTGCAGCGACATTTTTGTGAAAAGCTTTGCAAAAACAAAACAAAAAACTTGTGTGGCAATGAAGGAAAATAGAAAATGTGGACAGAGTATAACAGCAAATAGGCTTCCTCATTACATTTACCATACATTAATTTGTTGTCGGTTTCGTTGTTTTGTTTGCCTATTCATACAATTTTCAAACTATTTACATACACAACAACAACGAAACCAACTACCAGAAAAACAAATACGGCTAACGCCTCATCCTTAAAAATCCTTAAATTCAAATCAGGATATGCGATTCCTTTTTCATAATAAGGCTGGGTTTTAATGCCCCAGGTCATGTGTAAGGCATATACGGCAAAAGTAAGGCATGCCATCCCAACTAATCCATACAGTACCTCCCCAAGAATTAATTTAATACATATATTTTTTTGTGTCCAAGAATATTGAGGGTGGAGATTGGATGTTATCAAAAAGCGGTCTGAGACAGCAACTAATACAGGATTTCATTTCTGCGTACGTCCCTGGTCTGAGATATACCATATTGCTGTGGGATTCATTATTTACCATTAAAACAGTGATGGGGTACCAATTTTGCCCACAACCTGTTCATTTCGAAGGATGGTCATAGGCATTTTATTGACGCCTGTCTGAAAGTTTGATTTCCTTTGTTGGGTTGTGTTCTTCTACACACACACACACTCATACGGACGTTGACACAACATTTTGTTCTAGGCCAGGGCAAATGTTTCGTGTACCTGATTACAGGAAATGTGGCATTAACTTTTTTTTCCTCCTTTTGATTTACGTCAAGTGTACGGCTAGTCGAAGGTTACTTAGGTGGCAATATTTTTATGCGGAAA